ACTCCACTGCCCTGCAAAGAGCAAAAGCTGAACCGTGAAAGTGAACAGTAAAGTCGTGGTGTAAGTCCAGTAGCATGGGCTGTATATCACAGAATATCTTTTTTTATGAAATATAAAACCCACCTGTGACCTTTTGACCTTTTTAGGTGACAGGTTGCAGCTTTTTGCCTCTTTGTAGGGCAGCTATGTCTGAGCACAGTTTTACAACTAAAAGTTGAGCGGGGCCAGAGCAGACATTTTTTCAAAGCGATACGAGTTTGGTCGCGCTTTTAGAAGAGCTTTGTACACGTTTCAAAATGTTTCTTTTCGTTTTAAACGTTTTTTCGTTTCATTTTCTGTTGCTATTGTGTTTTTTTGTTTTCTACATTCGAGCTAGTGTACTGTAGTCCTTGAGAGTTATTTTAAGACAGATGCTACTAATAATTGAACATTAACACCTGTACGTAGAGTTGCCAAGTTGTGTAAAAAAAAAATGACAAAAAGAGAAAGTGGAGACATGGTTAGCTGTAAAATAGTTTAGAGAAAGAGAACCACATATTTTTGCATTGCGATTGTTGTATGACTGAGGTGCTGCGGGCGGGAGGGTTGAGGGTTGGGCTTCTAATGCTGGACCAGATGTTTGGTTTTTACTGCACTGCAGCTGTTGTCGGGGCGGGATCAGCGAACGCAGAAAGCAGACGGACGGACTGATGGACAGTCGAGGCAAACGAAACACTGTTGTGCTCACATCATTTGAAGGCTACAAGCCTGAATGTCCCTAACCCTAACCCTAACCCTGCCATGGATAAAATGTTAACTCTCCATTGTCTTGTGACGATAGAAATACGTTTCTTAGCCAAGCATGAACTTCCATTAGAAATCGACCCAAAGTAAGTTTACTTGACCTGGTTCTCAAACCAGCTTTTCCACAAAGAATAAGCTACTGCTGCTTGAATGTTATTTTTCTTTAGACGTCCCCTGGTGGCTAAAGGCTGCTACTGCGGCTCAGAGAAAGGGGGGGCTCAGCAGCTGCAGTATGTGCCGACGCCACCAGAGGGCGAGATCCCAAGAAGCAGTGATCCTACACAAGCTACGATTGTAATGAAAGAGTCTCGATCACTGTATTCGTCCGAGCACCTTAACAGCAGACGCCGCCGGAGGCTTCTGCTGCTCATTCTGCAAATCCGACACAAGACGCAAAACCGCCAAAACGTCCACCGCAATGTGGGCCAAGATGCCAAATAAAGTTGTCAGTAGATTGAAAGTTGCTGACATGACTTCCAAAAGAAAAGAGAGCTGTTTTTGTGCTTCGACTTGTCCGTCCACGACTTCGTCCGTCTGTTTTTCACTCCTGCTCTCCACCTCGACTGCCGAACCACAGAAAGGAACAAAAGTGACGAGGAGAGAGTGGAATAATCTTTAAAAAAAAAAAGCACCTTTGGGCGAGCGCTCAACTGTCCTGGAGAGCCAAAGCCCTCTGCACGTTTCTGAGCACGTGTCACTTCCTGTCTGTGGTTCGGATGCTGGTGTCAGAAGTGGAACTTTTGTTGATTTTTGGGGGGTGGGGATCGAGATGTAATGTGAGGGTTCTTTTTGTAAGTTCCTTATTTTTGTTGTTTTTATCTTTTTGTACTATCATTCCCTTTTTTTATTTTGTATGTTTTTCTCTTCTCTCTCTTTAATGACATTTGTTTACTGTAAAAATGATGATGATTATGATGATGATGATGTGCTCATCGACCTGTCTCCCCCCCAGGTGGGAAGCGGGAGCATAGACTGTGCAAACTCTCCTCTGAATGGGGGTCGGGGAGGATTTAAAGGGGAGAGTTCAGGTGGGTGAGGGGTACCGGTGAAGGGTGAAGGTTGGAGTTGATTCAGAGTTTTCTACACAGGGCATCAGTGAATTCTGATCATGTCAAGTCTTTTGAAAAGAATCCCAGAAAAATCACCAAGAAAGGTATGTTCACCCAGCAAGCATTTGACGATTGGGTAGTGTCAATCGGAACAAGCACAAAACCTTCAGTGTGACAATAAGCCACAGTCAGAAATTCTCTTCAAAAACCGCTTCAGACTGATAATCAGGCAGATTATCAGATCACGAAGGAAGCAAAAATGGACGACTTTGATGTCTTTTCTACTGTCAGTTCCGTCAAAATGCTTGTGGGGTTTGACTTGTACTGTCATATGGTATCGCGTGGAAAAATGTGTGATCTGATTGACGGTCGTACTGCCCCCTTTTTTTTTTTTTTTT